TCAGGGCCACAGGACTCGGAGCGCAAACATCGGCTCTTTTCCCTGGGAAAGAAAACTCACCAGTCCAGGTTGCTGATGTCAGTTTGTAGGGCTCTTTTTGAACTCTCAGGGCAGCACAAGTATGAGGTGGGGGCAGCTCCTGTCTGGGACTTATCCTTCGATGTTCGGATTTTTTGCACTCAGCTGCCCGCTCAGGGCCACAGGACTCGGAGCGCAAACATCGGCTCTTTTCCCTGGGAAAGAAAACTCACCAGTCCAGGTTCCTGATGTCAGTTTGTAGGGCACCCCTGGGACTGTCAGGGCAGCACAAGTATGAGGTAGGGGCAGCTCCTGTCTGGGACTTATCCTTCGATGTTCGGATTTTTTGCGGTCAGCTGCCCGCTCAGGGCCACAGGACTCTGAGCACAAACATCGGCTCTTTTCCCTGGGAAAGAAAACTCACCAGTCCAGGTTCCTGATGTCAGTTTGTAGGGCTCCCCTGGAACTCTCAGGGCAGCACAAGTATGAGGTGGGGGCAGCTCCTGTCTGGGACTTATCCTTCGATGTTCGGATTTTTTGCTGTCAGCTGCCCGCTCAGGGCCACAGGACTCGGAGCGCAAACATCGTCTCTTTTCCCTGGGAATGAAAACTCACCAGTCCAGGTTCCTGATGTCAGTTTGTAGGGCTCCCCTGGAACTCTCAGGGCAGCACAAGTATGAGGTGGGGGCAGCCCCTGTCCGGGACTTATCCTTCGATGTTTGGATTTTTTGCACTCAGCTGCCCGCTCAGGACCACAGGACTCGGAGCGCAAACATCGGCTCTTTTCCCTGGGAAAGAAAACTCACCAGTCCAGGTTCCTGATGTCAGTTTGTAGGGCTCTTTTTGGACTCTCAGGGCAGCACAAGTATGAGATGGGGGCAGCTCCTGTCTGGGAGGACAGGAGCTCATCATCCTCTCATCCTTCCACTTGAGACAAGGCAGAAAAAGCCAACCCCTGCCTCATGATCGTTTCCTTTTAGACAGCTGAAGAGAACAATGAGCGTGAGCCTCCTCTTCTTCAGACCAAACAAGGCCAATTCCCCCAGGTGCCCTCAGAAGACCTTCACCAGCGTCATTGCCCTTCTCTGAACTCACTCCAGCACTAAAATGACATTTTTTAAGTGAGTGGCCCAAAACGGAACAATATGTGAGGTGTGGCCTTACCAGTTCTGAGTACAGGGGAACAATCACTTTCCTAGGCCTACTGGCCACACTACTCTTGGTATCTGGGGCCTGGTAATTCAAAATTTGTAAACATTCTAAGGGTTCATGTGGGAAATAGGAAACTGCTCTAGTGTAAATAAACTTATGACTGACACTAAGTCTACAGTCAGCACAAACTGTAGTTCAATAAATACCTAAATCTACTAAAATCAGTGCAAAATATTTTTGAGCTGTTTTTTTTTTTCTAATTTGACCATCCTCTTCTTAAATAACTTTGCAGATGTACTTAACTTCATGTATCATAATTAGTTCCACTGATTTCAGTAGCATCTCTCTCAGGTACAATTCATATGCAACTTAGTATCCATCTAAGTAACTTCCAGGCTTTCATTTGTTTTTGTCAAATTACACCAAAACACCCACAGCCGATATAGGTAAACATGCTTACATTACATGACATTTCTTACTTGGTCAAGGGCTGCGTTTTCCAATTTGTCTTTTGCAACAGATAGTTTTTGCTCCAGATCTGTTAGCTGTTGTGCCTGTGGGGACCAAGAAAAAAAGCTGATGCAATCTCCAATGCATTTTTTCATGTGAGAGAGGAAAGAACAGAAATTTTGCAAGTAATATATATGGGCTGGGTCAGATTTGCTTTTCCTGAGGAAAAAAAAAACCATTATGGCCAAATGTGCTCCATTGATGTGAATGCAAGCTTATAATAATTCAATGTCAATAGCAAAATTATTTCCATACTATAAAATATTTAAGATTATGCCATAATATCCTTCTGGAAAATTCAAGGTATTCAAATGTCTTTTAATAATTTTGTTCGTTTGTCTGATTTCCAGGTGCAATTTGAAAATTATTTTGTAGTTTTAGGCATTGTGATGCCAACATTAAGCTAATTGGGCATAAACAGACAAATTAGAAAACACCCAAACATTCTTGCATGCAGGCACCTTATGAAATTATACTACCTACTACTATACAAGGAGGTAACTCCAGATTTTTTTCCTCCATGTCTTTTCCTGGAAATAGAGAAGGAAAATGCACAAGACTAGCTAACTCATAGCAGGAAAGCAATTTGGGAGACTTGTGTTGGAAGTCAGGATCAGGCTAGTAGCCTGCACCCTGAGTGGAAGGACTTCTGGCTCTGTATAATGTATATGTCATTCATGGAGCACAGGAGTTCAGCAGAAGCTTTTTAAGTGAGTGGCCCAAAACAAAAAGCATCAGAAGATGCTTTTAAATGTTCAGTAAATAAGGACAAGTATTTTCTCTCTCTTTCCCAAGGATATGTATGAACCCAGCCTGTTCACTTGAAGGAAATACATTCTCTGCAAGACTCTTCTGCTTCAGGAAAGCAGATTCCTGAAGTTGTCAGCCTTGTCATTAATAACACATGACTATGCAACCAAAAGGAATAAGGATTCTTTTGCTGTTGTACCTGCAAAAAACCCAGCCTAGCCGTTGTTTTCCCTGTTTGAAAAGGGAGCCATAGAGAAGGACACTGGACTAGCCACTTATCTTTTCTCTCTGAAATTCTGATTAGGTAAATATACATTTTGTATATGCAAAATAATAGGATAAAATTCTCAATTTTCAGATAAAGAGCACCACATTTTTATTTCAACCCAATGTTTGCAAGTGCATTTTCCCTCAACACCATTCCATGCCCTCAGGCTTCTGGAGTTCAATCCCAGCCAGAGAGTTTTTCTTGGCAGACCTTTCAAGATCTCCTGCACGCTGCTGATTGTAGCACAGCTTAATGGATAGCCACACTACGTAAATGCTATTTAGTGTAAATCCTGTAAGGTTAACTTGTTTTCTGCTGGGGTAATGACAGTCCTTCCAGCACATGGCATAGATGAGGTGGTGAGCTTAGGCAAGCCTGTAGTCCTCAGCAGACAGCTAATGTGATGTTCATTAGCATTAGGCATAGTCTGTTCTGCCAAATGAAATGTCAAAAGTCTGGAATTTTCAGTTCCCAACTCGTGTAAAGAACTGAGTAGCTGCATTTTAAATCAGGATTAGGCATTTATCTTCAGATTTATCACCAGAGTCACAGTTTCATTAGTCAAAACCAAACTTCCTTCAAAGTGCAAGTCAACTGTGACGTGGGAAAGTCTCTTGTGAATTGCTGTCCATAATTTACACTGCATCACATTCCTTACAGCTAACATCAGTCACTGCCACAACACACATATCAGACCATTGGTTTGACCCTTTAGTCTGGCAACAGAGAATTCACTACAGAAATAATCCTTCCACTTTATCAGTCTGCAAAATTTAAGTGGAGTTATTACTGATTTACTAGAGAAAAAAATACTGATATAAGAAATTGCTAGAATTCAGTAACTTTTTGGATTTTTTCCTAAATATGGTATACAGTATCACTCACAATAAACACGGCCACAGAAAATTTCTGAAAGACTGGACATTGACTCTATGTGACGCAGAGACACTTCTCATAGAACTAGACCAAGAAATTTCTCACATCATTAACGTTTTTATACTGTTACTTCTTATTTTTCAGTACAGCTATACAAATTAATACGCTCTCAATTAAAGAGAATCAAGATTTGAAAAACTGCATCATTTCAATTGCCACTAAAAAGGAAATTACACAAAATAACATATGACAAACATGAGGCTAGGATGGCACCTCTGATAGCGTGCAGAATTAGACTCAGATGGAAATGGTGAGGACCATACAACTAGGCAACTTCTTATTTCAGCACCATCAGATTTACAGTCTAAATCAGTGAAAAAAACAGAGCTACAGTCATGAATTAGAGGGTGTCTGGTTTCCTTCAATACATGCATTACATAGGCATCTGAAAGTCTTGGCAGTTGACAGAAAGCAGGCAGTGGTGGTTAGAATTGACTACTGTCTTGTTCTGGTTTGAAAACAAAACCAATGAGAGACTCCAAATCAAAAATACAGTTTATTAGGAAAAGTGAGAAAAGGAAACAAAATACCTGCAATACTACAAAAGAAAAACCACTGACAGAGTCAGAATATAACCTGATACCCTTTTTGGTCAGGGTTGGAATGGCTGCAGTCCTCCTGGAAACCCAGTGGAAAAGCCTGAGTTTGGTGTCCCAAAAACCCAAATTCTATCCAGTAAGGAATGCTTGGCTTCTCCCTCTGGGTGGAGCATCTCACAATGGGATGCTGTAACTGTTATCAGTCATGCAGTGACATTCCATATCACATTAACAGATGTTATGTGGCATGATGAAGTCAGCCTGTAGCTTATAGAACTTATTATCCCTAATAATGTGTTGCAAGAGCTCTGGAAAAAAAAAACAAAAAAAAACCTCTACTATTTAACATTGCATTTATGTTTATACCTGGTATTTTATAATAGTTTATTTAGTTCAGTCATGTCTTTCCTACACAGTTCTGGAAAACTTTCCAAGGGAGGCTGCACAAGATCCAGATGCTGAAAAACCACGCTGGATGAACAAACACACCCCAGACTAAAGATCCTGTCTGAAAGCAAGAGAAATTGCAGTATTCTCTCAGGGAAGTTGGTACAACAGGCCAAAAAGGAAACTGTTCCCAGTTTTTTCTTATCATCTCCTTCAAAGACTGAACTACAGAAATTCTATTTACCATTACAGGGCAATGTAAAAGTAGCAACAAAGATAAGAGCATTCTTTCTGAGCTAGACACATAAATGCACAAATAAAGTTATAGGAAAGTGACACGGCTTTTTTTTTTTTTTTTTTTTTTTTTGTGCAAAGCTTTCTGCAAGGAAAACAGGAGTTTAATGGTGCTTTGAACATAATGAAGAATGCTTTAAAATCTGTTAAATGGACTAGTTTTTCACATATGCAAAGTTAGCTGAATTCTGCAGCTGATAATTTTAATACGTGCAGAGGCAAATCATGGGGGAAGTGGATGTACATGAGGTGCTTTAGGATCAAGCCTAGTCACCAGAACTATACAAATAAAACTGTATTAGAAAGCCTGAAACTTGCATCTTCATATATGTGCCAGTACACAAAGTACTTCTGTAAAAATTTATCACAAATTTAAAATATGTAATCAATCATCACAAGCCCAGAAAGCAATCCTAATGTTTACACAAGTTGTCTGCCAAAGCAGGTGGTTTTCTGCTTGTTTTTTTCTTCCTTTGTTTTTCTTTTATTATTTCATCTCTTTCTCTGTATGTAATATGGAATCTCATTGCCTTCATTAGAGAAATAATTAATTTAAAATTCTGGGAAATCAGTTTACTGTGGCATGTAATTAACTTTGCTAATAGAGAAGGAAACACACACGGCATCAGTTTTACTTCAGAGGGAGGAATGGTACAGATATTTACCAAATCCAGTCAATATGATGCAAAAATAATTTCACATAGTTTTGTATTTGACTCTACCACAGCAATTATTTAAATGATTTGCACATGTCAAATAATGACCTAGTTTGTGCAGAACTAGGTGTTTCAAAAAATGTGGGAAATAGTCTTGACTCTAAATTTGCAAGGGTGATATGGTCCTTAGTTCTTTAGAGGCATTGAGCACCCATAGTACATGAAACATTACTAAGGAGTACAAGAGTACTGAAGGTAAATTACAATCCTGTTACTTTGTGAAGCTGCACATCAAAGAAAGATGTGAATTCAAGAGTATCATCACAGAAACAAGCTAAAACAACTGTAAGGAGCAGCAGCAGAGGTTGTCAAGTGCCGGGAACAAGGTTCTCCACTACCCTCCCTCCTTCCTGTCCATTGCCCCTCTCTCCCAGTAATCCCCACTACAATTCCTGCCTGCCTTCTGCTTGCCATTCCTACCTGCACACCTCTGTCTGTGCTGCTCCTGACACCACTGACTCCAGCCATGCACTGGATGTGGCAGACATGCTCTGGTTTAACACTATTAACTGGGCACCTGGGGGCTCTGAACATGTGGAGAAGCCCCAGGGACTCCCCAGGGACTCCCCAGGGACTCCCCAGGGACTCCCCAGGGACTCCCCAGGGACTCCCCAGGGACTCCCCAGGGACTCCCCAGGGACTCCCCAGGGACTCCCCAGGGACTCCCCAGGGACTCCCCAGGGACTCCCCAGGGCCCAGAGCAGATCTTTGTTCAGTGCACACCCACCCTGACCACAACGTTTCAGCAGGAACTGATCATGTCTGTGTACCCAACTGCATCCCACATGGTTTGCTCCTCAGAAGAAGGTGCCCAATTATAAACCAGGCACTCATGGTAAATCCACCTACAGAGTACATATTAGCAGTTACCCGACTTGCTGTAAGCTGGTGTTTGCTAAGGTACTAAGCTGTGGTATTATTTGTTATAATAGCCAATCCTCTTTGCTTGCTTATTTAAAGTTAAATTCTACCATGGAACAAAGATTAAATACATTGTTAGGCCAGGTGCTGTTAGTTGCTGCTCACATTTGAATTTTTTCTTGGTTTTCTAGGACTGCCTAGCAAGATACTTTCTCTTAGAATTTGAACAAAAAGTAAAAGAGATGAAGTGGTACATCAAATATGTCTGAACCTGTAGCAAAAGCCTTAGAAAAAAGCAAAGATATGCTCAAACCATACCACTGAAGCATGGTCACCTTTTAAGAGGAATGTCAATAATACAAGGTGCGTGTATAAACTGACATTCGAAATCATTGCTGGATTTATTTTTACTCATCTCTTATTACTATCATATATACACGTATGCATTTCGTGATCAAAAAACCAAACTATTTTTATTTTTTCCTATTTTAGTAAAACATGAGCTTTCTTCCAGAGCAATACAGCCTAATAATGGGAAGACAGTTAATGAAGGAGAAGCAATTTAAAAAAGAAGCGGTCTGTGATGTCTGAAGCAAATGCAGACCTCAATCTAGCAGAGAACCTAAACTTAGAAGTACTTCATTGAATCAGGGGTTTAGGATGATAATTGAAATTATTGCAATCAGAGTAGTGTCATTCATAATTAGTAAGTAGCTACGTACAAAGGCAGTGATAAAATTAAGAACATTCAGTGGCAATTTTTATTAATAATTTCTTGGTTTTCACATTATAATACAAAATCAAATTTTAACTTGGGTCAATTCTTTAAGGATAACATGCTAAATGCTTTAAGGCACTGAGATCTGAAAAAGACACAGAACCTCAAATTACGATCTCAGCAGAGATACAGACAAGCTCTATAGCCTTGGGTGCATAAATTCATTTTTGTGATGCTCATTACTTATCTGTTCCATGGCTTTATATCGCATAGGGGGAGTTTTGAAAATATAAACATACGCACATATGCTCCCTAATTAATCAGCTAGATTGTAAAACACTTTGAAAACATAAGTAGTGTAAGCAAGATATGATAAAGGAGATATGATCTACCAATTCACTGGAATGTTAAAGAAAAAGCTGCCTTTTCCCCATTTTCTCTTCCTCTCCCACTTAATCCCCAGAGGTCCAGTTCAGACCAGAGCCATTGACAGTAATAAGTACCAGAATTTAAGAAATAGTTTCTTGAGGTCTATTATGTAAAATAAAAATCAAACAATCCCTCCCTATTAATTTCACATATGCCTGCAGAATTAATCCTTCAGAGAAAGACTTATTTTGAATGGACATGAACTGCAGCTTTCCTCGATGCCCTTTAGAAATCTAATAGCCTGCAGCTTACATCCTTCTGGTGAACTGCTCCAAGAAGCTTGCAGTCTTCAGATCTACATGGAGAGCAGACTTCCCTGAAATCCTCAGTAAGCCACACAGAAGATAAAGTTTAGCGGGATGGGAAGGGAGTGGCAGGGCAAAAGGTAAAAGCCCAGTAACGTGGAAGTAGCTAGCAGCCAGGATTTTACCCCAGACATTCATGCTGTGCCAACAGGAAGACTGCCCATTTCATTTATCAGAAAGAGTAACAGCTTCATAAACTTGGACTAAACCTATGCATTAAAAAAAAAAAAACAAAAACCAAAACCCAACCAAAAAAAAAAAAAAAAACAACCAAAAAAACCCCAAAGTGCAAGCAAGCAAAAAAAAAAAAAAGCACAGAAATCACACTGTTGTTTCAATGGCCCACTCTATTACTCTGTATTTCTCTGTATTTACGTATTCACAGCACTATAGATACAATAGAGAAACAGCAGAGAGAGTTAAACGCTTCCAGAAGACAATCTGGAACTCATAGTGACATGAATGACTTGTAAGTAATTCTAGGTCTAGTAACTTGGAAGAAGACTACTTCATGTCCATCCTTTGTGCTGGGAATAGATAAAGGGACTACTCCACTAACAGTCATCAGTCAGATGACCCACATCTCTCTCCTCTTCCTTTTAACAGGGATTAGCTTCTCCCTGTGTTAACAAGGACTAGACACCCTTCAGCAATGTCTTTATGTTTTGTCCTGTCCTCCTTTATTGTAAAAATTTTTATTCTTTTTTAAAATGTGCTAGCTAGTGCAGACTATTGATTTGGATTGTTTTAGCAGCAGATGTTTCTTTTTTCTTAAATCTTAAGACCTAAGGAACACTACATTGCTCAAGCTTATCATGAACACAGAGAGATTTACTTTAAATGTTAACAATAGTTGACTTTGCCATGGAGGAGTGCTAATTAAAGGAAAAACAAGAAGCAGCTGTAAAATATGATATCATTCAGTTAAAAAGATGACCTTACAGAAGGTATGGAATAGGGCAACAGGTTTTATTCATCAGCAGTACCCTAGAATTTTGCTTTTTGCAAGCACAAAAATATATTATATTTCTGAAAATCCATTATGGTATTAAGTCTGTCTTGATGTTTTGAGTTCTTTTCAGAACAAACTTCTTCCTGAGAACTGCAATAATAAAGGCAGCTACCATATTCCTACTTCGCTACGATGCTGTATAAATGCTAATATACTTTAGCTAACTATAGTGAAATAAAACTTACCTTAAAAATCAAATCCTTTTCCCCATAACGAATCTCTTTCAGCTGGGCTTGGATCTTTTTTGACTGAAAATGAAGATAATCAAATCAGGTTTTGGGTTTTTTAAATTTTAAATATTAAAAAAATTATGTGAATTCTGAGAACAGCAGAACCTAGATCAGATTTATAATGTAGAATGTCCCCCTCCAAATAATTGTCGATTGCTTTTCCAGCTTCACAAGTCAAACCAACCAAAAGTACTGAGGAAAATGCAAAAGAGCACACACCCAACTAAAGCACATACCTGAGTTAGGACTGTAAAGAACAGCAGCTGGGCTTACACATTTTGGACATGAGCTGTTATTAATACTTGCCATGAAGCATAACTGAAGGCATCAACTTCAAAGTAAACAATCTTATTCTTAGAAGCAAAAAGGCTCCATAGGCTTATAAAAGTCTTTGTAAAGATCAGGGTGTTGCAGGTGTAACTACTTTGGAGCTACCTTCTCAGTTTGTAACCATGCCCTTGAAAGTACAGGCATAGTTATGCTTATTTATATCAGTTTAAGCTGACATTTACTTTATATATTGCTAAATATATCCTTAAAATAATTCTAAGTAGTAGTCTATATATTATTTTATTAATTGAAACAAAAGAAATAGAAATTGATTTTTTGTACTAAACTCAACTATTCAAGGAACATTATTTCACCATTTATCCAAGCATCCTCTCAAAGTAATAATTTGTTTTTAATAAAATACACAACCCCAACTGATAAACAATACACTCTCTTGTATTAATTCATGCCAAATGTTTCGAAGTCCTTGGAATGGATTAGAAATCTGTTTCACATTTACTGAAAGAGCATTCCATAAACATAATATATTACAAAAGGAGTATATCTTAAGTTGGAATTTTAAAAAAGATTTTATTTCTTACCAATTGATGCAGTCCAATTCAGTGACAGACGTTTGGGAAGGCTGAATGAATCTAAGGAATGGTATTCTGTAAAATCTGAAACTAATAGCAAAGATCAGTGCAGCAAAATTCTTTGAAACAATTTGGATTTTGAAAAACTTAAGAAAAACATTTCTAATCCTATTATTTCCTCACTTTGAGAATTTATCAGAAACTTGACTTTCTAAGTACTGATCTCAAAAGGCAGAGACTCTAATGAAGAAAATGCTTTCAATCATCATTAGGAAAATTTTAGTACAGAGGAAATTTTTTATGCTTTGGTTTCTTTCTGGCAAGGTGCAATAACCTTAAGAGCAATTATAGATGCAAAAAACCCAGACTAAAGTAATGTGAATAAATCAGATTCACATGTAATAACTTTTTTTTTTTTTTAAATTAAAAGAGAAATAAAGGGAATGCTTATATGATTGCAGGTACTTCTACATTGAGGAATTTGCCAAAAACAGGATCTTTCTTCCCCTGAAATAAGGAAGGATTCTGGAAATCACTAATAATGGATTGTTCCTGTCTCAACTTCAAAACAAGCCTTTGGCAATTCCTGGCTTAGTGTAGACAAGGAGTTCACGTAAATGAAATCAGTTTTATATATGTTATAGATGCATATATCTATAGAATTTTATCATAGGCACGCCTAGATGACTTTATCAGTCTAAAACTAGAGTTTGCAACTTGCTTTCTAATACATTTGAACTGCTTCTTGTGAAGTCACAAAAATAAGTTGGGATGACAGCACTTCAGGAACACTCACCATATAAGCATAATATATATATATTTTGTACTCATATGTGTTCTTGTGTATATATAAAATACACCAGGACCTCAGTACAAAATACTTTGATGCAAATTTTTTTGGGTACATTAGATTTAGAACAGAGAGGAATCTTCCTTAGCTCTTCTGCGTGCAAAGCACCAAGCTTGTTTCCTGACCAGAGCTTGTTTTTGAGGCTCGGGCCGCCCGAGCCGCCGCCGCCCCCGCCCTGCGCCCACAGACACCGCCCCGCGCGCCGCTCGCGGTGCTGCTGACCCCACAGCCCGTGTGCACGGCACCGGAACCGCCGCGGAAAATCCCGTCGGGGGGCGCCGGCGTTGGGGACCATTCAGGCAGTGTAGAAAAAACAGACACGGGTCCTCGAATGCCGACGTCCTCTTTTTCGCGCCATCTCGAGAAGGTCAAGCGAGCCCGCGACAAGCCACTCCCAAGATGGCGGCCGCGGGCGGCGGGCTGCAGTACCGCCCTCTGCCCACAGGGCGGCAGCACTGCCGCCCGCCACCGCCGGGGGCCGCCGCTCGCCTCGGGGCCGCGGGCGGGGCCGGCGGCAGAAAAGAACGGGCGCGATGCCCTCCGGAACCTGCCCTGCAGCAAATGCCCCAAAACATCCCGCGCGGAAAAGAACGCCAGCAAAAAACCCCTGCCTCTAACCCAACAGGAACCAAAAGCAAAAACCTTCTCTTTTAAACTGCATTTCAAGCTATTTTATTTTTATATTTTTCATATTTATATTCACATTCGGATTTATAACGTATATTGATGTGTAATTGTATTTTTATAATTTCTTACATTTATTCCTATTATATTTTATATTTTTACACATATCTTAATATATTGCTTGTATATTTCTATAGTTAGATTTAGATTTCTAAAAGGTTTATAGGGCTTAAAATAAACCCCTGCCTCTATGCAAGTAAAAATTTTTTTAAAAACCCCTTTCTTTAAACTCCGTCTAAATTTATCTTTATTTTTCGCATGTATGTTCAAATGTACATTTTTATTGTAGATTGATGTATGGTGTTATTTATAGTCTATCTCTTCCTCATACTTATTTTTATTTACATTTTATGTTTGTATATTAATCTGTATACATTGATTATCTATTTCCATATTTAGATAGATACCAAAACAAAATGTATATTCATCGTTTTTCCATTAAAACCCTGCCTCTAATCAAATAAAAGCAAAAAAATCCCTTTCTTTAGACGCTACTGGAATATTCATATATTTTTTCATCATTATAGTCACATGCGCATTTCTCCTTTATATTGATGTATCTATAAATATATATTATATAGATAATAAGGTAGCAAGATAGATAAATTTTAATTTAAATTCTATTCCGTACATACCACTAATACTCATAGTTACTTACCTTTGAGATTTTATATAGCTCTTAACATATTTAGGATATATTTCTATACATAGATTTCTAATTTTATTTCATTTATATTTATCATTTTTATAATAAAACCCCTACCTACTACCAAATAGACAATTAAAATCCCCTTTACTTTCAACTATATTTAGATATTTCTTTATTTCTATTTTCGATTTTCACAAGTACTTATATATTCTATCACAATATCTTGAGGTACTATATTTCGAGCTATAATTCCTATGACATATAATGTGTCATAATAAGACATATACAGTAAAAAATGCATTATGTACTGTATTGATTCCTATTATTTTGTCATATTTATATATCCACATGTATTAATTATACGTTTCTAGATGCATATTTATATTTATAATCTACATTTATATGTATATAAACATATAAAATACCCTATATCAAACAATATAATACCTAATAGTAATGGATAACATTATTCATGTTACATGTTTTATTTATATGTTTTCCGTTCATATTTAAAATTGAAGTTTTATATTCCTATTTTCATATTTATGCATTCCTTTTGTTTCATTAGAGTTAAAACTTTGCAGTTCTAATCCAGTTCCTCAAACTAAAATGCCAAAACAGCATCAAATTCCCAACAATGCCGTCCAAAATATTCAGAAAGGTTCCACAGCCAACCAACTACCGGCAAAAAAACCCGCACTACACTTCTTTCACTAGCAGTTCTTATCACATCACAAAAATGACACACACATTTCTAAAAAGACCTATAGAATGGTAGTGCGGGTGGGGGGAGGTAGGTGATTCCCAGGAACAATTAGCTAATTAACATTTCAATGTCAGTACTTAGCCCAAGCCAAGTGTCGCAGCCAAGCTGTTTTGTTCATAACAAAACCCACACAGCAAATCACAAAAAAACATTAAGAAAAAAAAAAAAAAGCCAACTAACTTACTATACTCCAAACCATACAACAGACCCCGAACGTTTCTTAGAAAAAAAATAAAAAATCAAACCCCAAAACTCTACCACTACACTAACTCATAAAGAGAACCCAATACTCTATAAAATGAACGAAAAAAAACCACCAAATAATTACCGATATAACAAAATCGGAACCACGAAGAAAGAAAAGATTCACCACCGAAATAAAATAACTACCTAAAAAGATCCACCATAGAAATACCCACGTTCCCAAAAACAAAACTAATAAAAAACAACAACCAAATACATCAAACTACCAAAAAAAAAATCATATTAACAACAACAAAATAATTATTCCTAACTCAATAAACCCATAATGCCTCAAACCATCAAAACACAAATACCACTTAGAAATAAGCACGTCGCCAAAAGAGAAATGTAACCATAAACAATAACTCCCAAATTCCCTGCAACAATAAAACACACACGGCAATCAAATAAGCCAAATGAAAAAAACCGCTTATGATATAATAAACAAGAATTCCACCATCAATATTAAAAAAAAACCTCACTAATTAATTTCAGGACACTACCTCAAGCCACCAAAACAAACACTACGCACTCACGCTAATAAAAGCCTCCACAACCGAATTAAAAACCTACCCTCTACTTCATGCTACAACCCAGAAAAACCATTGTAAGCCTTCAAAAACACATCCTTTGAAAACATAAGAAACGATCAAAAAGAAACCTGTTTGGCCGCTGCTTCTCGGCACAAAGGTTTGTCCCTCGGCGCCTCCTTTGAGCAATGCTCCACGTATCCAAATGATCCCCCAAATCCTTTCCGAAGTGCTTACCGTCCTTCCATGAGACAGCCCCGGGAGCCCCCCATAAACTCCTCTCCTCCAGCAGCTCCATGCAAAAGCGATGTGAGAAAAACCCCTTAAATCAGCCCCCGGAGGAGCCGCCCCCTCCTCATCATCCTCACAGCTCGCACCTGGGGCTGCTCTGAGCCCTCCTCATCCTCACAGCTCGCACCTGCCGCTGTTGCCGCCCTCCAAACAGCGTCTCTCCCTCTCCAGGACACACCCACTTCTCACAGACACAGATCCAACAGAAATCTGCTACGGGTGTTGGCTTTTCTTAATCCCTCTGGTTACACGATTAAAGCACATGCGTGCATTGATGGTCATTGAGAGAAAGCTTTCCCCTGGAAAAAATAGTCCTGTTGGTAGCACACTTTGCTACACCTTCGGAAAAAGCAGAATCGGCACCAACTCCTAAGACCCCTGCTGAGGAACCCGGCCCTCCCTGGGACACCCAAAGCAGCAGACCTCGGAAAAGGAGGGGAAAAGTCAAGCGTGGAGTGGAAAAAGAGGACAGAAGTACAGCAGCCTTTAAAAATGCCTGCACGGAGCAATAGTAGGAACCAGTCCCATTTCTTCTTTCCTTGCTTTCTCTGTGATGACATAAATAGGAAGTAAGAACACGTTAAACAAAAGGCAGAGCTAGGATTTTACAGGTCTTCGTTTCGGCAGACAGCAGAGAACGGAGGCAAAAGGTGCCGGAGAGCCCTTTCTGTTTCCTTCAGCCCCTGCTGAAGTGGGTGTGTCCTGGAGAGGGAGAGACGCTGTTTGGAGGGCGGCAACAGCGGCAGGTGCGAGCTGTGAGGATGAGGAGGGCTCAGAGTAGCCCCAGGTGCGAGCTGTGAGGATGATGAGGAGGGGGCGGCTCCTCCGGGGGCTGATTTAAGGGGTTTTTCTCACATCGCTTTTGCATGGAGCTGCTGGAGGAGAGGAGTTTATGGGGGGCTCCCGGGGCTGTCTCATGGAAGGACGGTAAGTACTTCGGAAAGGGTTTGGGGGATCATTTGGATACGTGGAGCTTTGCTCAAAGGAGGCGCCGAGGGACAAACCTTTGTGCCGAGAAGCAGCGGCCAAACAGGTGAGCCGGTGCGCCTTTGTAGCGGGGACTTTTCTCCTTTCCCTTTTGAATTTCGTCCTCCTGAGGTTGAAATGAGGGGGCTGCCCTGTTGTCCCTCCTTTTAAGGGGTTTGGATTGAGGTAAAATTGTGCCTTTTGCCATCATTTGAGGCAAGCCCCTTCTTTTCTGCTCTTCTAGGGGATGCGATGGAAGGGGAGCCTGGCGCGGCGGGGCTGCCGCGGGACTGCCGGAGCCGCGCCGGTGCGAGCCGTGCGGAGCCGAGGGGAGCTTTGGCCGGGCCGGCGGGCGGGGCAGGCGGCGCGGGCGCTGCGCCGGTGCCGGCCGGTGCCGCCGCTCCGTCCGCTCCGGGCGCGGGGCTCGGGCGCCGCCGGGGCCCCCCGGGCCCGGTGCCGGCCCCGCCGGGCCGGGGGGAGCGGGCGGGGGTCTCCCGGCGCGGCGCCGCCTGTGCCTGCCCGAGGAGCCGCTTTCCTGCCGGGAGCCGTGCTCCGCCCGGTGCCGGGAGCGCGGATTTTCATTTTCCAGCGTTCCTTGCTGTGTTGGTTTTGAGGAGTTTATTGGATCGTTTTCTTTTGTTCGTAGTTGGTGTATGAGAAGGGTCGTGGTGTACTTGTTGGTTGTTATGGTTCTTGGTTCAGGTGCTGATGACAAGGGTTTTTTTGGATTGAGTTTGTTGTTGGATTTTTTTTTTTCTTTTGTGGGATATGTTGGATTTTTTATTTTTCTTTATATTAGAAAAATATAATTGTAGTTATCTTCTTAAAGGATGTGTTTTGAAAGGTTTACAATGGTTTTTATGGGTTGTAGCATGAAGTAGAGGGTTGGTTTTTAATTAGGCTGTGGTGGCTTTTATTAGTGTGAGTATGTAGTGTTTGTTTTGGTGGGTTTGAGGTAGTGTCCTGTAGTTAATTAGTAATCTTTTTTGGTTTTTTTAAAAATATTGATAATTGCATTCTTGTTAATTCTCTTATAGAGGTTTTATTAATTTGGTTTGTTTAATTGTCTTGGATGTTTTATTGTTACCGGCAATTTGGGTGTTATTGTTTATGGTTACCTTTCTCTTTTGGCGACGTGTTTATTTCTAGGTGGTGTTTGTATTTTGATGGTTCGAGGCATTATGGCTTTATGGAGTTAGGAATAACTTTTTTGGTGTTAATTTAAGTTTATTTTTTCGGGTTTTTTTTTAGTTTGATGTATTTGTTGGTTGCTTTTTATTTGTGTATTTATACGGTGGATTTTTTAGGTAGTTTTTTATTTGGGTACTTTTTATTGTCTAGTGGTTTAGATTTTTTAAATATCGTTTATTACTTTGGTTTTTAAAGTTAACTTAGCAGAGTACTTGTTACTCTTTGAGTTAGTGTGGAGGTATGGTTGTCATTTTTAGTAGCTTTCAGGGTCTGTTGTATGGTTTGAGGTTTAGTAAGTTGGTTGGACTTCTTTTTCTAGTGAGTTTTGTGATTTGTTTTGTGGGTTTCTTTAGGGGTGTTTTTTATTTTTGTTTCATTTTTGTGATGTGTCTCGCTAACAAGTGTTAGTGAAAAGAGTGTAGCGTGGGTTTGTTTTTGCTGGTAGCCGGTTCTATGGTGGTGTATTTTTAGTTTGAGTTGTTTGTTTTTGGTTTTCTGTTGTTAGAGATCAAAGTTTTTATTTTGGGCTTAATTTGTAATTATTTTTAAGGTTTTAGGGTGATTGAGATTTTTGATACGGATGTCCTGTATGATAAGAGTTAATTTATTTGCTTTATGTGGAATTGATGGCAGGGTAGAGGACATTTTTGTATAGAATGTGTATTTTAATCATAGTATTAAAATAATACCATGGTAAGAGGGGCTGTGTTTTATTCTCTGTGTTCGAGGTGGTTTGGCATTTTCTTATAGGTTGGGCTTTTTTTTGTTGGCTCGTGGAGCCATTCTGACTTTTTTTTTGATGAAATTGGTGGGAATTTGATGTTTCTTTTGTTATTTTATTTTTAGGAATTGTATCTTTGCAGTAGTCTTTTTGATTTTGCTTTTTTTTTTTTTTTTGTGGTGTAGTAGTCTTTTAGAAGAATTTGGCTGATTTTTAAAAATATTTTTGTTATACTTTTCATCTAATGTTGTTGGATTATTACAGATATTTTGGAGTTTGATTTTTTAGGTTTCATTTGGAGGAATTTATGCTAGATGGTAGGACTGTGTTTTTATTTTTGGGGTAGTTGGTTGTAGGTGTATTGTATGTTTTTCAAATGAAGGTAAAATGAGGTTTGTAATCAGTTGTTAGAGGAATGGAGAAAAATGTATTGGTAATGTTTACAGTGGTGTGTTATTTTGTGGTTTTTGATTTTAGTTGGTATTGGAGTTTTAATAAGTTTGGTACAGTAGTGTTTAATGGTGGAGTTATTCAAGGTATGATAGTTTAGAGGTAATTCTTATTTGTTTTAGATTTGTGTGTAGGTTAGAGGAGGTTGTTGAAGGGCGAGTGTGTTTTGTAGATGAATTTTAGTGCTTCAGTTTATAGAGCATTTTTTGGATGGGAGTTACAGTATTTTGACTTGTTTGGCATCACTGGTGATGTATTGTTCAGGTGGTGAGGAGTATTTGTTGGGTTTTTTTAAAGAAGGTTTATTGTCGATAGTTTTAGATAGTTGTGGTGGGTTGCTTAATTGTTTGATGTTTTTTAGCTTTTTAGTAGTTATTTAAAATATGTTAGAGTTTTTTTTGGGTTTATTGAATTACTTGATTTTGAGGAAGTTCCGATTTAGAATGTATGGTTTTTTTGGCTTAAAATAAAAATGCTATATTTTTAGTGAGACTTATTTTTCTTTTCTTTTCTTACTGCTATATTTTGTGATATTTGTCTTAGGTTAGAATTAGGAATAGCTTTATTTTTATATGTTGAAATGAGGGTGGTGTGTACTGCGTACTGGTGTTCATAAAGGTTTAATATTTTTGTGGTTCTGATGTGTTAGGTTAATGAACTTATAAAGTTTACTAGACTTTTTGTTTTTATTTTGATACAGGTAGGGTTTTCTTCATTTTAAGGATTTCTTCGGCACAGATTGAGAGGCCTTATTGAGGGGAAAGGACAGGGTGTCTCTGTTAATCTATTTGGCAATTTGGATATTGGGTAAATAAAGTTAATGTTTTGGTAGAATTTTTGGGTTTAGTTAATTTATTTATTTATGAATTTGTGTGCCTACAGCTGTAGTGTCTCTGCTGACACTCTGAGTATCCATTCATGTCTGTGTGCATTAGGCAGTCCAGTCGTGTAACACCGAGACCCCCTCTGCAACCAGCCCGCAGACCCGCTCCTTCGACCTCGTGGGAATTCGGGAAGCGGCACACGGCTCTGCGAGGGAGCCTGGATCTCTGTCACTTGAAGGTGTCACCCAGGGAGCTTTCAGGAGCGGCTGAGGAGTTGCTGTAAGTCGAGGAAAAACTAGTGAGGTGGAGCCAGGGTCCGCTATAGTTTTGGGCACGCCACATCACCTCGTCTCCTCTCCATCCAGGCAGATCCTGCCAGGAGGGCGTGGGTGAAGCGTGCAGCCCGAGGAGCCCAGCGTTCTTAGGAGAATGGCGAGTAGCAGGATTGCTGGCTTTTGTCCATTGTGCAGCTAAGATCATGCAGTGATGTTTGGTGTTTTTGATTCTAGCTGAGCAAAGGACCACAGCCCGGTGACCATAGGACATTCCCAGCAGATGAGGCAGCCTCCATTAAAAAGCAACATGGATTCTCATCCCCAGATGTCTGAGAGATAAGTTCAGGGCTAAGGCCCACAGAGGGGATGAAAGCAAAGTGCTGGGAGGGCCTTTTGAAACAGCTTTGGGGGCGGGGATGTTTGAGAAGTGTCCCCTTAGACCCTCTAAAGGGAAAGTGTCCGTTTTGATCACAGTGCTGAGGTGCGCAGGGCAGAGCAGTTCCGGTGTGTGTCCTGTCACTTGTCTCTGGTGCACTCTGTGTTCTTTGGGTCTCCGAGTCCTTTCTTCTTGTCGAAAGCTCTCGCTCCCTGTCCTGTCCCCTCGATGGTCGTGTCCTGTCCTGTGTCACGGGTGTCTGCACATATTTGTCCCGGAGCTGCTCTGCCCTGCTGCCTAGCCTGTAATAGCACAAGTCCTGGGGACTTGAAATTGGTAATGCAGGGTGTATTTGGGCTCTAGTTTTTATTTGTTGATTGCCCTAACATTTTTGGTTCTATTAAGTTGTCCTGCAGCTGTTTCACACTAGTCCTAACTTCCTTTCAGATGCAGACAGTTCAAATCAGTGGCAGAGAGCCCCAGTGCTCGGTGAGGGTGTTGCCATGAGCAGGTCAGTCATTGTTTGCATTTGCAGGGGAAGCCTGAATGGTGACTGTTACAGCAGTGTTCTTTGACTTCATTTTTAGGAGGTCCAGGCAGATAGCAGCAGTGAAGGCCCAGTGTGCCAGGTGAGCAGTGGACAGAAGCAGTTGTTCTTGCTCAGGTCTCAATGTTTGGTGCAACTCTAAGCATCCATTCTTGTTTTTGTGCTTTAGGGAATCATCTCAGTGTGCGCATACCTCTGTCACCAACTGGCTGATGGACCAGGTTTCATGCACTTGTGATCTCGCTGGAAGCATTGCAGGACCCTGTGATGGACCTTCCAGTTTTGCATTTCAAGGCCCCATCCTGGTAGCCCAGAGGAATGGCTGAGCAGTTGCAGTGAGTCGGGGAAGTCGGGAGGAGGAGTGAGAGTCCACTTGTGTTTCAGCAATGCCATGTTGCCTTGTCTTCACTTAACCTAGGTGTACCCTGCAATGACGGCGTCAGAATCCAAGCACGCCCGACGCGTGCAGGCCAAGAACCCGGGCATTCTGAGGAGGATGGTGAGTAGCAGAATTATCAGTTTTTGCTCGATGTACTGTTAAGACTGTGCACTGATATTTGGTTTTCTTTCTCTTGGCAGACCAAGAAGTGACAGCTATAACTTACCAGGCAGGCAGACGGCGTCCTTCTGCAGCCAACAGGGATTTGCATCCCCAGATGTGTGCAAGATAAGTGGAGGGTCATGACCCACAGAGGGGATAAAAGCAGGGTGCTGGGTTGGGCCTTTCTAGAAGGGCTTTTGATGTCCAAGAAGCGTATACTTAGTCCACCTAAAGGGAAAGTGTCTGTTTTAATCACAGTGCTGAGGTGCGCAGGGCAGAGCAGTTCTGGTGTGTTTCCTGTCACTTGTCTCTGGTGCACTCTGTGTTCTTTGGGTCTCTGAGTCCTTTCTTCTTGTCGAAAGCTCTCGCTCCCTGTCCTGTCCCCTCGATGGTCATGTCCTGTCCTGTGTCACGGGTGTCTGCACGTATTTGTCCCGGAGCTGCTCTGCCCTGCTGCCTAGCCCGTAATAGCACAAGTCCTGGGGACTTGAAATTGGTAATGCAGGGTGTATTTGGGCTCTAGCTGTTGCTTGTGTCCATTGTTTGCCCTAACATTTCTGGTGCTGTTAAGTTGTCCTGCAGCTGTTTTACACTAGTCCTAACATCCTTTCAGATGCAGACAGTTCAAATCAGTGGCAGAGAGCCCCAATGCTGGGTGAGGGTGTTGCCATGAGCAGGTCAGTCATTGTTTGCATTTGCAAGGGAAGCCTAAATGGTTACTGTGTTACAGCAGTGTTCTTTGCCTTTTTTTTAGGAGGTCCAGGCAGATAGCAGCAGTGAAGGCCCAGTGTGCCAGGTGAGCAGTGGACAGAAGCAGTTGTTCTTGCTCAGGTCTCAATGTTTGGTGCAACTCTAAGCATCCATTCTTGTTTGTGTGCTTTAGGGAAGCCACTTGGAGTATGCCAAGCTCCTCTCACCAGCTGGCCGATGGACTTCCTGCGCTTGTGAGTCCTCTGGAAGTATTTCAGGACTCTTGAGATGAAGCCTTGAAATTTTGTATTTCAAGATGGCATCCGGGTAGCCTTTGGCAATGGCCAAGGAGCTGTGGTGAGACGCCGAGATAGAGAGGGGGAGCCAAGGTCCACTTTGGTTTCAGCAGTGCTGAGTCACTTTGTCTCTTCTTAACCCAGGCAGACGATGAGAGATGACGATGGCAGCCTCTGAGCATTGCCAAAGTGTGGGGCCCGAGCAACCAGGCATTCGTACGAGATCGGTGAGTAGCAGAATTGCTGGGTTTTGTCCATTGTGCAGATAAGATCATGCAGTGATGTTTGGTGTCCTTGATTGTAGCTGAGCACGGGACTACAGCCCGGTGACCATAGGACATTCCCAGCAGACGAGGCAGCCTCCATTAAAAAGCGACATGGATTCTCATCCCCAGATGCCCAAGAGATAAGTCGAGGGCTAGGGCCCACGGAGGGGACAAAAGTGAGGTGGTGGGAGGGCCTTTTAAATCAGCTCTGGGGGTGGGGATGTTTGAGAAGTGTCCCTTTAGGCCACCTGAAGGGAAAATGCTTCTTTTGATCACAGTGCTGAGGTGCGCAGGGCAGAGCAGTTCCGGTGTGTGTCCTGTCACTTGTCTCTGGTGCACTCTGTGTTCTTTGGGTCTCCGAGTCCTTTCTTCTTGTCGAAAGCTCTCGCTCCCTGTCCTGTCCCCTCGATTGTCATGTCCTGTCCTGTGTCACGGGTGTCTGCACGTATTTGTCCCGGAGCTGCTCTGCCCTGCTGCCTAGCCTGTAACAGCACAAGTCCTGGGGACTTGAAATTGGTAATGCAGGGTGTATTTGGGCTCTAGTTTTTATTTGTTGATTGCCCTAACATTTTTGGTTCTATTAAGTTGTCCTGCAGCTGTTTCACACTAGTCCTAACTTCCTTTCAGATGCAGACAGTTCAAATCAGTGGCAGAGAGCCCCAGTGCTCGGTGAGGGTGTTGCCATGAGCAGGTCAGTCATTGTTTGCATTTGCAGGGGAAGCCTGAATGGTGACTGTTACAGCGGTGTTCTTTGACTTCATTTTTAGGAGGTCCAGGCAGATAGCAGCAGTGAAGGCCCAGTGTGCCAGGTGAGCAGTGGACAGAAGCAGTTGTTCTTGCTCAGGTCTCAATGTTTGGTGCAACTCTAAGCATCCATTCTTGTTTTTGTGCTTTAGGGAATCATCTCAGTGTGCGCATACCTTTGTCACCAACTGGCTGAAGGACCAGGTTTCATGCACTTGTGATCTCGCTGGAAGCATTGCAGGACCCTGTGATGGACCTTCCAGTTTTGCATTTCAAGGCCCCATCCTGGTAGCCCAGAGGAATGGCTGAGCAGTTGCAGTGAGTCGGGGAAGTCGGGAGGAGGAGTGAGAGTCCACTTGTGTTTCAGCAATGCCATGTTGCCTTGTCTTCACTTAACCTAGGTGTACCCTGCAATGACGGCGTCAGAATCCAAGCACGCCCGACGCGTGCAGGCCAAGAACCCGGGCATTCTGAGGAGGATGGTGAGTAGCAGAATTATCAGTTTTTGCTCGATGTACTGTTAAGACTGTGCACTGATGTTTGGTTTTCTTTCTCTTGGCAGACCAAGAAGTGACAGCTATAACTTACCAGGCAGGCAGACGGCGTCCTTCTGCAGCCAACAGGGATTTGCATCCCCAGATGTGTGCAAGATAAGTGGAGGGTCATGACCCACAGAGGGGATAAAAGCAGGGTGCTGGGTTGGGCCTTTCTAGAAGGGCTTTTGATGTCCAAGAAGCGTATACTTAGTCCACCTAAAGGGAAAGTGTCTGTTTTAATCACAGTGCTGAGGTGCGCAGGGCAGAGCAGTTCTGGTGTGTTTCCTGTCACTTGTCTCTGGTGCACTCTGTGTTCTTTGGGTCTCTGAGTCCTTTCTTCTTGTCGAAAGCTCTCGCTCCCTGTCCTGTCCCCTCGATGGTCGTGTCCTGTCCTGTGTCACGGGTGTCTGCACGTATTTGTCCCGGAGCTGCTCTGCCCTGCTGCCTAGCCCGTAATAGCACAAGTCCTGGGGACTTGAAATTGGTAATGCAGGGTGTATTTGGGCTCTAGCTGTTGCTTGTGTCCATTGTTTGCCCTAACATTTTTGGTGCTGTTAAGTTGCCCTGCAGCTGTTTTACACTAGTCCTAACATCCTTTCAGATGCAGACAGTTCAAATCAGTGGCAGAGAGCCCCAATGCTGGGTGAGGGTGTTGCCATGAGCAGGTCAGTCATTGTTTGCATTTGCAAGGGAAGCCTAAATGGTTACTGTGTTACAGCAGTGTTCTTTGCCTTTTTTTTAGGAGGTCCAGGCAGATAGCAGCAGTGAAGGCCCAGTGTGCCAGGTGAGCAGTGGACAGAAGCAGTTGTTCTTGCTCAGGTCTCAATGTTTGGTGCAACTCTAAGCATCCATTCTTGTTTGTGTGCTTTAGGGAAGCCACTTGGAGTATGCCAAGCTCCTCTCACCAGCTGGCCGATGGACTTCCTGCGCTTGTGAGTCCTCTGGAAGTATTTCAGGACTCTTGAGATGAAGCCTTGAAATTTTGTATTTCAAGATGGCATCCGGGTAGCCTTTGGCAATGGCCAAGGAGCTGTGGTGAGACGCCGAGATAGAGAGGGGGAGCCAAGGTCCACTTTGGTTTCAGCAGTGCTGAGTCACTTTGTCTCTTCTTAACCCAGGCAGACGATGAGAGATGACGATGGCAGCCTCTGAGCATTGCCAAAGTGTGGGGCCCGAGCAACCAGGCATTCGTACGAGATCGGTGAGTAGCAGAATTGCTGGGTTTTGTCCATTGTGCAGATAAGATCATGCAGTGATGTTTGGTGTCCTTGATTGTAGCTGAGCACGGGACTACAGCCCGGTGACCATAGGACATTCCCAGCAGACGAGGCAGCCTCCATTAAAAAGCGACATGGATTCTCATCCCCAGATGCCCAAGAGATAAGTCGAGGGCTAGGGCCCACGGAGGGGACAAAAGTGAGGTGGTGGGAGGGCCTTTTGAATCGGCTCTGGGGGTGGGGATGTTTGAGAAGTGTCCCTTTAGGCCACCTGAAGGGAAAATGCTTCTTTTGATCACAGTGCTGAGGTGCGCAGGGCAGAGCAGTTCCGGTGTGTGTCCTGTCACTTGTCTCTGGTGCACTCTGTGTTCTTTGGGTCTCCGAGTCCTTTCTTCTTGTCGAAAGCTCTCGCTCCCTGTCCTGTCCCCTCGATTGTCATGTCCTGTCCTGTGTCACGGGTGTCTGCACATATTTGTCCTGGAGCTGCTCTGCCCTGCTGCCTAGCCTGTAATAGCACAAGTCCTGGGGACTTGAAATTGGTAATGCAGGGTGTATTTGGGCTCTAGTTTTTATTTGTTGATTGCCCTAACATTTTTGGTTCTGTTAAGTTGTCCTGCAGCTGTTTCACACTAGTCCTAACATCCTTTCAGATGCAGACAGTTCAAATCAGTGGCAGAGAGCCCCAGTGCTCGGTGAGGGTGTTGCCATGAGCAGGTCAGTCATTGTTTGCATTTGCAGGGGTAGCCTAGGTGGTGACTTTGTTACAGCAGTCTTTATTCTTAGGAGGTCCAGGCAGATAGCAGCAGTCAAGGCCCAATGTCCAAGGGGAGCAGTGGACAGAAGCAGTTGTTTTTACTCAGCTTTCGGTTTCTGGTGCAATTCTAAGCATCCTTTCTCATTTTTGTGCTTTAGGGAATCGACTCGGAGTACTCATACCTCCATCACCAACTGGCCAACGGACCGGTGCCAGGAGCGTGGCTTCTCGTTTTCCAGCCTTCCTTGCTGTGGTGGTTTTGAGGAACTTACTGGATGGTTTTCTTTTGTTCATAGTTGGTGTAGGAGAAGGGCCATGGTGTGCTTTTTGCTTGTTACGGTTCTTGCTTCAGGTGCTCATGACAAGTGTTTTTTTTGGGTTGAGTCTTGTGGTTGGATTTCTTTTTGATGGGTTCTTATGTTTTTGAAGGATGTGTTTTTAAAGGTTTATAATGTTTTTTATGGGTCATAGCATGAAGTAGAGGGTAGGTTTTTAATTCGGCTGTGGAGGCTTTTATTGGCGTGAGTATGTAGTGGTTTATTTTGGTTGGTTTGAGGTAGTGTCCTGTAGTTAATTATTGAGGTTTTTTCAATATTGATAATTGCATTCTTGTTTATTATGTTGTAGGGGTTTTATTTGTCTTGTTTGATTGCTTTGTGTGTTTTATTGTCTCAGACAATTTGGGAGTTATTATTTATGGTTACTTTTCTCTTTTGGTGACATGTTTATTTCTAGGTGGTATTTGTGTTTTGATGGTTTAAGGCATTCTGAGGTCCTTGAGTTAGGAATTATTATTTTGTTGTTGTGAATATATATTTTTTTTTGTAGTTGGATGTATTTGTTGGTTTTTATTAGTTTGATTTTTGGGAACATGGGTATTTCTATGGTGGATCTTTATAGCTAGGTATTTTATTTGGGTGGTGAGTTTTTTGTTTCTTCATGGTTTCGATTTTTTTTATATCTGTAATTATTTGGGGGGAGTTTAGTTAATTTTTTAGAGTATTGGGTTCTCTTGATGAGTTAGTGTAGTGGTAGGGTATTGTTTGGGTTTTTTTTAGAAACATTTGGGATCTGTTGTATGGTTTGGAGTATAAGAGGTTAGTTGAAGAGTTTTTTTTCTTTTTAGTGTTTTTTTTTTGTTTTGTGTGGGTTTTTATAGGTGGGTTTTTTTAATTAATGTTCCATTTTTGTTATGTGATAAGAACTGTTAGTGAAAGGAGCGTAGTGGGGTTTTTTTTGCTGGTAGTTGGTTGGCTGGTGGAGCCTTTCTGAATTTTTTGGATGGTATTCTTGGTTATTCGATGCTGTTTGTTATGGCATTTTATTTTTAGGAATTGGATTATAACTGCAGAGTTCTAACTGTAACTCTAATGAAACAAAACACATGCATAAATATGAAAATGGGAATATAAAACTTCAATTTTAAATATAAATGGAAAACATATGAATAAAACATGTAACATGAATAATGTTATCCACTACTATTAGGTATTATATTGTTTGATATATAGGATTTTGTTTATATAAATACAGATAAATATAGATTATAAATATAAATAAAATCCATATAAAATATCCATATTGAGATGTATAATTAATACATGTGGATATATAAATATAAAAATTACTAAATAATAGAAATCAATACAGTACATAATGCATATTTTACTGTGTATGTCCTATTTTAACACATTCTATGTCCTAAATATTATATATCGAAATACGGTACCTCAATATATTGTAATCGAATATATAACAACTTGTAAAAATCAAAAATAGAAAGGTAGAAATAATTAAATATAGTTTAAAATAAAGGGGATTTTTATTTTGTATTTGGTAGTAGGTAGGGGGTTTTTTATAAAATCTATAAATATAAATAAAATAAAATTAGAAATCTGTGTATAGAAATACATCGTAAATACCTTAAGATCAATATAAAAAATTCAAAGGTAAGTAAAAATCAATATTAGCAGTATCTATGAAGTATAATATAAATAATAATTTGTCTATCTTGCTACCTTAATATATATGATATATATTTATAAACAATCACTATAAAGTAGAAATGCAAATGTGACTATAATGATGAAAAAAACATGTAAATATTCAAGTATCGTTTAAAGAAAGGGCTTTTTTTGGTTTTTATTTGGTTAGAGGCAGGGTTTTAATGGAAGAAAAATGAATATACCTTTTCTTTTGATATCATTCTAAGTATAGAAATATATATTCAATGTATACAGAGATATATAAAAATATAAAATAGAAATGAAAATAAGTATTCCGTATAGATAGAATATAAATAACACCATACATCAATCTACATTTTAAATGTAAATTTGAATATAAATGCGAAAAATAGAGATAAATTTAAACGCAGATTGAAAGATAAGGGGTTTTAAAAAGATTTTTACTTGGATAGAGGCAGGGGTTTATTTTAAGCAATATAAACCTTTTAGAAATAGAAATCTAACTATAGAAATATGTAAGTAATATATTAAGCAATGTATAAAAATGTAAATTGTAATAAAATATAATAGGAATAAATGTAAGAAATTATTAAAATTGCAATTATACATCAATATGCATTATAAATCCGAATGTGAATATAAATATGTAAAATACAAAAATAAAATATATTGAGATGCAGTTTGAAAGAAAAGGTTTTTTCTTTTGGTTCTTATGGGGTTAGAGGCAGGGGGTTTTTGTTGGCGTTCTTTTCCGCGCGGGCTGTTTTGGGGCATTTGCTTCAGAGGACGTTCCGGAGGGGCGGGTGGCAGCGCTTGCGGACACAGAGCGGTGCTGCAGCCGCCGCCCGCGGCCGCTGTCTCGGCAGTGGCGTGTCGCGGACTCGCGTGCCGCGCACACGGGCTGTGGGCTCAGCGGCTCCGCGGGCGGTCGGATTTGGAGCAGGCGCCGACCGGCATCGGCAGATTCGCCTCTCTCTGCCCAGCTCCTGCAGCGGCCGCCATCCTGGGCGCGGCCCCTGCCTCTGCCGCGCTGGGTGCCCGTCCCGTCCCCTCCCGTGCGTTCCCACCGCCTCCCTGCCGTACAGCTAGAAATAAACAACACCAACGTAGAAATATACATAGGTTAAAAAGAAAGGGCTTTTGGGGCGGGGCGGCGTTATTTGGTTCGAGGCAGGGTCTTTTAGTTTCTGTGCGGGATTTTTTGGGACATTTATTTCGGAGGATTTTTCCCAAGGGGATCGATCGCCGCCGCTCTTTTCCCCCTGCCTCCCCTCCGGGCGAGCGGCGGCCCCCGGCTGTGGCGGGCGGCGGTGCTGCCGCCTTGTGGCCACAGAGCGGTACTGCAGCCCCACAGCCAGCGCCCGGCCGAAACCACCGAGACGGGGCGGGAGGTGCCAGAGCGGCCCCAAAACCACCGAGATGTGGCGGAAGGGGCCAGAGCGGCTCCAAAACCACCGAGACGGGGCGGAAGTGGCCAGAGCGGCTCCAAAACCACCGAGATGTGGCGGAAGTGGCCAGAGCGGCTCCAATTACCACCGAGATGTGGCGGAAGTGGCCAGAGCGGCTCCAATTACCACCGAGATGTGGCGGAAGTGGCCAGAGCGGCTCCAATTACCACCGAGACGGGCGCGGGGCGGCGGCGAGCGGCGAGCGGGGCGGTGTGTGTGAGTAGAGGGGAGCGGTGAAGGCGGCTCCGCGGCAGCGCCGGGGAAGGATGGCAGCGGCGAGGGCGGCCCGGCGGTCGCGGCGCTCCCGGGCCGGGGCGGAGCGGCGTCGGAACAGGGCTGCGCCCGCCCCTCCTGCCGCCCTCCTGGGAATGGGTTGAGGCATTATGGGTGTATTGAGGTAGGGATAACTATTTTGTTGGTTTGTAAACAAATGTCAGTTGTTCTGACAGGAACAGGCTGAATGGGGCTGTAGCTCTGCCTACGAGGTCAAGCAGTGATAAGGCCTTGTCAGCACGGTAAAGAAGTGAGCCTCTGTGTAGCACTTCTCTGTAACAGATTAGCAGCTGCTGTAGCATCATTTCCTAGACATTGAGTGGTCTGGGGCTGGATTAGAAAAAAATTAGGTTTAGTGTGTTGTTTAACAGCTGCAGGTGGAGGAACCTGTGCCTTCTGCTCTCCCCACAGCTGTCTCGGCTGTCACACCTGTCCTGAGGAAAGCCCTGTGGAAGGAGCTCGGTGCCGCGATTCAGGACCCTGAGGCCACTGTGAAACTGCAAATTCTTTCCAAGCTGTTGCCACCTCCGGGAAGCAGAGGGCTGCACAACCTGATGGACTGCCTTCCTGCTGCTCCGGAGAGAGCAGGCAATGAAGAGAGGTGGGCAGCGTGTGTGTGTGTGTGCCTCCCCCAGGGCTCAGTTTGTCCTGGGAATCAGTGTGATAGGAATGGGAGCATTAACAGCGTCCTCTCCTCCGAGAATCTGTTGCTTTGCACTTTGGCAGCAAGACATCTTTAAGATATACAAAACCAAGTTAAAATGTTAATAAGAAAGTCAGCAGCTATCTCTCTGCAGCTGGGCCGTGGCAGATGCCATATCCACGGTGCTTAAAAACTCAGAGGAGCTGCATTCCTGGAGGAGACATCTCTTCTCAGCCTGCGTAAAGGGGTTAGTTGCCATGTACAGCAGCAGTAAAGATGAAGGCAAGCAAGAAGTGGAGAGGTCCATGCTGCTGAGGCTAGAGGAATTATTGGTGAGACTGCTTATCTGCTTTGCCACAGAGGGACTGTATGCATATGTGTGATTGGGCAGTTGTAGATTTTGTAAATACAGATTGGACTCGATTTCCTGTTTTGTGGATTCTGGTTTCCGTGGATTTTTCATAGCTTTTTCCGAGTCCTGAGAATCCTTTATACGAGGCAGTTTTGTGTTCTTGATGATGACTTTCTGGTACGAATCCCCTTTGAATGTGTGAGCTTGAGGTATTTAGGAGTAAGAAATCAAAGGTTACCAGTGGAATTAAAAAAAAAAAAAGTTAAAATTAATTAATTAAATTATTATAAATTAATTAATTTAATTTTTAAATTTAAGTTATCACCTTCTTTTTTAAAAGAAGCTGATAGAGATACTTGTGCCAAGACCCATCTGCCATGCCATCTGAAGTCTGGGGCAAAAGTCTGGTTGATCAGGAATAGAAATCAGACTTTGATCTTGAAGAACACTACTTGGTCACTCCCTCTGTATACTGTTGCCTTGGTTTGAGTTCAGTGAACAGGGATCCCCGTGACACGCAACACTGAAGGTCCCTGGGCAGTGAATGCCTTTGCGCTCTCATGGCTTTTGCTGAGACTCCCTTGTAGGACCTGGCTGACTCTGCAGGCCCTGGGGCCACCTCACAGGGTCCATCCCATGCTGAGGGTGTTTCCAGCCTGGCGAGGTTGGCACCTGCATTCCCAGGACTGTTGGGATGTGCA